GCCATTGCCTCACTCTGAAAACAAGATTGTTAATAACGGTCAGTCATTTAACGCCCACAGTCAACGCACTAGCCCTAAAGCGCATAAGAAAGAAAAGAAAAAAAAAAACGCAAACTTCTGTTTATATACTTTTCGCGGATGCACGACACAGAAAAAAAAATATTCAGCCAGCTACAGAAAACAAAGAGCATTAATAAACATCATAAATAAAATCTCCAAAAACAAAAACATGGTCGGCGCTAAAAAAAAAAAAAAAAAAAGCCGGTAGCTGTGCCGGCACGACCGTCAAAATATAACGAACAAAACAATACGCCAAAGAAATACAAAAAAAAAAATGTACTCTCTGGCATCCACCCTTCTTCCAGACGCCGCGACGCCGACGCACCGCGATCACGCGAAGAAAAAAAAAACCTTTATTTCTTCTTTTTGTTTGTGCTCGTCCAATCCCCCTGCCCTTTTCACAAACATACACACACGTTATGGGTTTTTACTCGCCGCCCACTTGAGAAAAAAAATGTTCATAATCACTGCAACGCTAACGATGTCTACAACATAACGTTGCAGTGTAAATTGCTGTAATGAATTGTGAAGGCAAACAAACGCAAAATCGCCAACATTGTTTCTGTCAATCAACGCTCTCGAGCGGTCAACCTCAAGCATTTATAGTGCACACCGAGAAAGAAATCGGCGAGCCGAGCTTACAAACACTGACTGCCCCAGCTAGGGTGCCTTTATGTTGGCTTTGCCTTAGGGAGGGTGATGCCATCCTTTGTAGTACTCGATGCCGACAGTGTACGCTCACGGATAAAATACCAGCAAATTGCCGGTAATAAAATGCCGGCGTAGCACTGCCAAAGTTAGCAGCTCGAGCTGGGAGAAGAACGATCGCGCGTTCGAAATTGAAAAGTAGACAAAAGCGTCGGACAGAAAATGGTCTGATATCACCAGCTTAAGACAGACGCGTACACATTGGGACACCCTAACCCGCTAAAAGTGTTTTGTGCGAAAGACAGCCCTGCGGCTCACGGCAGGGCAAACGATTAGCGACGCTTTGTCCTAGCTGAACGAGCAGATCCAGGAAGCGACCGCGTCCGCGGACTACTGCTGAACACTCTCACTCTACATGCAAAGCTCGTGCATCTCACAGCCAGCGTGAAAATATTGATGGCTCGTTATTCCCACCCGCAATGCACCCAAAACAAAAGCGGCAATATGACAGCATTACTCACCCGAAGGAAGTCAAACGAGCAGCATGACGCTTGCGATTCTCCGGCAACGACCGTTTCCAGCTCTCCGTGAATTGGCGCGAAGCCTTAGCACCGTCCGAACTCTTTGCCGTGGATTAGTGCGCCTGCCCCCCTCCTCCTGACCGAACTACATTGATCCAGTTAAGAGGGACCGGTCCCCTCTTAATATGAAGGGACACGCGTGAATCTTTTTGTCTGTCTTTCCTGTTCAGAGGGACTAACGAAACGGTTTCCTTGGTCTCTCTTAATATGTTGGTGTCCCTCTAGATGTTGCTATTTTATTTTTCAATTTCCCTCTTAAAAAGGGCTGTCCCCCTGAAAGCATTGTTGTCCCCTCTAAAATCAGAGGGACAGCGTTTTTTTATGAGGGACCGGTTTTAGAGTGTACCAACCTAAGCGGTTAAGATTGGTGCTTGCCAGGTTTTTTTAGAGCGCAGCTCTTAGGCGTCCGTTTCCGGCTTAAGCGGCGTCGCCGTCGCTGTCCCCGTCGGCGTAACCGCGCGTTGCATTATAGGACGTTTCCCATAATGAAGTCATACGTGACGTCACGTGTTGCGTCCCCCTCGTGACGTCACACGGCGCCTAAAATTTAGCGGAAAATGTGCCCGCTGAATTTAGTGGGGAAATTTGTTCGCTCAATTTAGAGGGGAAATCTTTCCGCCAAATTTAGCGGGCAAATTTCTTCTCCAATTTTTCTTTTCGCTAAATTTATCGGGAAAAGTTTTCTGACAAATTTATCAGGGAAATTTTTCGCAAAATTTAGAGGCCAACTTTTTCAGCGTGGAAATTTACCGGCAAATTGTCCCACAATTTCCCGGAAAATTATCTCCATACCCTTGCCTCCCCTCCGTACCTTTCGCTCCTCCTCATCAAAAGCTGTTCTCTAATTCGGGATGGCAGAGAATTGTAAACGTTTTTCATTTTTTGTAAGTACATTCATAAAAGCACCGATGTCGTATTTTTGAAATCAGTGGCGCACATTGTTTGTTAGAATTTTCATAAAACGTTTTTCCACGCAGCATAACCGAAGTATATAAACGGTGAAAGCGCGAATGTTTCTTGAGGTTCAGTGGCATGCTCTCGTTTGCTTCTTCACTTTTCTTGAGCAATTTTATGTTTTTACTGTTTTTTGGTAGGTTTAACAAACAATTTTCATAAAACTGTCCGAGCTAACATCGCTGTAAGAACTTATGAAAGAAATCGTAACTGCATTTTACATTTGTTACTTGTCGATTTATTCCGAAAACCTGCATAATGCCAACACAAATGCTATCTTCAGTTTCAAGCGGTAGAAAATTATTATGATATTAGTACGACATTAAAGAAGAGTAATATTCATGGGACCATTAAATTTTGAAGTACAGTGACCCATTTTTTTTAATAAAATCAAGCGAGCGTCGACAGACGGGCCGGCCAGCGCCGTGCCGCGGAGGCGTTCGGCGATACGGGAGAGATTAGGCGCGTGCGCACAAAGCTCTTTCCGGTTCGCCGTCGTCTGCTAGGATATTTCCGTATTTCGTTCATATATATATATATATATATACAAATGTATATATATATACGAACGAAATACGATATATATATATATATGTATATAAATTTTTTTTAAGAAAGCCGTTTGTTTCTTCGGTTGCTTGTGTCTTACAAGGTAAGACCCAGATCAAATATTGTTTGCTCTAATGACCCATTACTAAATAAAAATTTGATTAAATTAGTTGGCGTCTTTAATTGTCAATTCTACCTTCGCGTGGACGCATTTTCAGTGACCTGGGGCCCTATGCTACATCCTGGGATCAAAAGGGACAGGAAGTCCGGCACATTGCCGCCCTCTGTGATTTTTCGGCACCACGCCGCTGACCAATCGCAGAGGCCGGAGATGGCATCTCCGTCCTCTGCGAGTCCGGACTGCGAGTCCGGGAGTCCCGGACTCTCTTTCCCACATGGTACCGCTGCTTGGCATACGGACCCTGATGAAATCAATGTAGATCTCCCGTTTTACGCCACCCGGAAATGTCACCCGGAGAACGATGATATTGAACATAGCATAGAAGTGTTTGGCAATTTCACGTATCATACATTAGCGTGATTTAAGATTTACGGAATGTTCTTTTTGGTCAAAATTCTGGATGGTCATTTGATGAAAACGTATTGTGTAATAAGGCATGTATATGTGTATTAAACCACATGCACGTAATGTAAAATAAACAAACGCGTTTGGTCTCAGGTGATTTCCGAATAAATTTTGTTCTTCGGCTACTTCCCCCAAAGATCACACAAAAAGGAACAGCTTACCATTAAAAATATCAGATTCGAAAAAAATTGTTTTATTATTTTTAGTGGGTGTATGTAGTGTACAGCATTCAGCATGGCAAAGACTTGAACGTAAACTTCATTGCAAGGAATTTGTGTCGAGGACACCGGGGATAAAGCCTCCAAAAGGAAGCTTGACTATGTCCTGTGTTCCGGCACATACAAAATACGACACAATATATAATAATATGTAACAACACTATTCACCTAAACGAAATGAGCACACGCGGTTAGAAATGTGGGCAGGTTATGAGAATAATAAAAACGATCGGCAGGTTTTATAATGACATTTTTGTTTTTCGCGACCGATGAGTTGTCATCAATATTTGCATTGGGGTTGAATGGGCCCATCTTGGGTATCAACTTAGATGGTAAAATGTGAGTCTTCTTCAATATCTTCTTTGAGTAAATGCGAGAAAGTACCAGTTCGCGTTAGGTGTTTCGCACAACGTGCTTACAGCAGACTGTGCCGCGAAAATGCGGCTATCTTTTGGCAGACCTCTTTCTTAAGGGGTTGCATTGTTTTTTCTCTCAACAACCCACAACAAAAGACATTGCCATCGACAGCTGAAGAAGCAGAGGGCGCGGCGACTCGATTTATGAGCATCCACTTATTGTTTCGGAGCGATCGTTGCACTAGCTGATAAGAACCCCAAATAACCACTGCGAACGGTGCGAACGTGATAAGCGCGCCACTCGTCGCGTTTCTTAATTTGTTGGTGACGATACCCCAAGAATGAATTTGTCTGTGCATGCAGGTACCCCTGGCACAACAGGCTTGCGCGTTTATGCGAGTCCTTTCGAGCTCCATTACATTGCGGTTACACGAACAGATGTCACCTCATTTTGTACCTACAAGTAAAAATTTCATGGCGAAAAGTTACCATACCGGTTGAGGAGTCAATTCAAACCTACACTATTAATCCTGTCGTTGTGCCCAGCCACCGAATTGAAACAAGAGTGCACGAACTGAGGAGAACCCAAAGGAAATTAGTTGACTCGTGATAACTCTCACGAAAGTGCATTGTGTCATGTGTATGTAACATCGAAAACCTTCAAAGTTGATTCCTAAACTTTGAGAGAAAAAAACATTGTCTATAGTGTTTATTGATACCTTTTGATGCTGCGTAACCGTTAGAAGATCCGTTAGAGTTGTAGTTAAGATCAAGGTTTTTTTTTTCTCTTCACTCTCGTGATTATTCTAGTTGTGATATGGTGGCTTTCAACAGCAGGAAATAATAATTAATTCTACTCGAACACTTTCTGGCTACAGTCAACTCAGTACACCCCAGCCGAGTACTATTTAGAAATATGTTAAATTGAAAAAAAAAAAAATATTTTATTGATTCATTCTTGCCCATGCGGATCTTGCTGCTTCCGTGCTCTCCTTTGCAGTTTGGTATGATGGCTCATTAAGTTGGTCCTTGTCTTTGAAATCGTGGCTCAACCGTAGAAACCGCCCCCGTATCCTCCAAATCCAGGGCCGTAGCCTCCATAGCCGCCGTATCCGCGGCCGTAGCCACCGAATCCGCGACCGTAGCCTCCGTAGCCTCCGTAGCCACCATAGCCTCCGTAGCCTCCATAGCCTCCGTAGCCGAACTGGGCGGCGGCAAGGCTGCACAGGGCTGCCAGGACCACGAGGGTCACAAGGAGGGACTTGCAGGACATCATGTCGATTCTGTAGCAAGAATAACGCAGTTTAAACAGGGCCTAGATACAAGAATACTCATGTTTTGTTTGTTTTTGTTCGCCATCACTGAACAAGCGGGTCTGGAACTCGCGATAGACTCTTCGCAAAATTCAGTCTGGCCACTTCGATAACTTTCAGCATCTTAGGGATTATTTTCTGTACATGCTAATGGCGGCCCTTTGCAGGCTGGTGAAGGAAGAATTTGAAGAGAAGCACCGATGCGCAGTCTGAACATTCCAGAGGTTAGTTCGCAGTATTGCTGTTTGATGTCACCAGTACCACTAAATAAGCTACGCTTCAGAGTGACGACACTTGGCCATATTGTGTCTTAAAATAATGGTTGCCAGGTATCTGAAGCTTTATCTGAAATCCCAGGAAACGCTTTTCCGCCCTCCATGAATGTTTCAACCGTTTGCGACTGAGCAAAGCGATATTTCATGACCTTCTTAACACCGAATCTAATGCTGAGGAAGTCGCACTTTTGAATCACGGCGATCGGCAGTTGCGTCTACTCTGCATACGAGCCAAAATGGCGGCGCCCAGAACAATGTCGGGGAACGGAGTGCCGATAATCTAAGCGCAGCTCATTTAGTGGACATAATGTCAGCATGACAGGATTATAAACTTTTATGCGCTGAGCATTTAAGAGTGTCATTCAAATCCTTGAAATATTCGTCTTCGGCACACCCCAGACAGCTCATGCCAGAAGGTTGCGATGATTTTTATCAAGAAGTTTACTCAACCATGGCCTCCCAGATTTTGCTCGCGTGACTATCCGCCTCGTACAAGGTAGTAGTCTCTTGACAGCGTCGAAACTCAATCAACTAGAGAAATAACTATTCAGCGAGAGACACCGTAACTTTCCTGCGTCTTCCGTTGATGAATGGATGCTAGATTTTAACTACCATCAGCATACAATGAGCCACTAGATGGCGCTGAATTCGTGAAAGGGTCTATTACGATTACTCTACTTGTTGGCAACATTTTGTGTAATTTCAAAAGTGAAGCGCACGCGTGCACAGCCTTAGTCGAGCTCCTATGCTCAAAGAGCATAAGAGTACGGGCGTCCTCGGAGTTCTCTTCACAGCTTCGGGACGTTGTTCACAAGTATTTGTGGCGAGTTGTTTTAGTGGCACCCTCCTAGGGATTCTTCTCCAGACGTCATTACTTTAAAAACAACAAGTACGATAATGTTTGTAATGAGCACGGTGGAAGCTTGAAATCATAGCGTTCTGAAACCCACACTGCCAACAGCGTCAAAATTGAAGTTCTTACATTACTCTTATTTCCGTCCATGAGAAATCCTCTGCAATCGTGGAAGGCCGATCACAGCGACGCTTTCCATCACTCACGTCGCAAATAGTGTCTCTTTCTATGGTATACGGCGTTGAACTTCTTCTGCTCCCTCCCGCGATCTCCAGCAATGTTCCCTATGTTGCCCTTTTATTCTTGTGTTCCGATACGTTACAGGTATGCACCTTAACACTTGCTAGCCGTACAAAAAAGATTGCGATTCATGTGTTAACACTTTTTTTTTGTAATATGTGCAAATAAAAAGGGAGTCGGTGGCCGAGTGAGCTAAAGCACACCAGCTCGAAGCAAGTGGAGCGAAAGCTCGCGTTGCAAAACCCAGGGATCCAGGGCTCAATCTCCACCTTTGCCCGTTTTGATCTGGATGAGCATCGTACCGGCGAATAGTCGTTCACCGGTGCACCACTGCGTGGTGCACTTTAAAGACCCCAGGCTAGTGGTTGTACTGCACTGGTTTAATTTCTCATCTCCAAGTGAAACACCGTTGAGGCTGACTAACTTCCGGGTATATATACACACACGCAACATTATTATTAAAATAATTTTTGTGCAATTGGAAAGTATTCGCGGCATTATCATACATCATTCAGGTTGTTGTAAATTGTTAATCGAACACTCGGAATATCAGATCAGAAATGTATGTTGCCGTGCCTCGTTGAAGACATTCAGCTACTAATAATGTTTATGAAATTCTGGCAGCTAAAACAAACCCTTCATATAACATCAGTATCGCAATGGTCCAATGGTAAAAAAGGTCGCATATTCGCAAAACTACATCGATAAAGACCTTTGATAAACGAACCGACGAACCCTCAACTGCAATATCTTACAAAGTTTACCTTACTATTCTGAATCAATCAGTCACAGAATAAGTCGTGACGGCTAGCACGATCCACTCACCTGGTTGTCTTGTAGGCTCGCTGCAGGATTGTGATCTGCAATGGACGCCGGCGTGGTTTATATGGTGATGTCTTGGACCCCTGTGATTCGTAGAAATTCCTATTATCCAGGAAAATCCCCAAGAGAAGAGGCGGGTCTCGCCGTCATTTGTGTAACGTCCTTTCAATTGTTGATGCACCCTCCGGTTGATGAAACGCCCGAGGCTGCTCCGCCGACCTCCGCTACCCTGCCTGCCACGCGTGCCATAATGGATGTGTAGCATCGCATACGAAAGAAAACGAGCGCGTGGAGTTGTTTTTGGGACATTCAAGGATTCGGACGGGGAAAGAGTACGCTGCGCTTTTGGCGGGAATGGTGGGGGCTGGCAGACACGCGGCTACGAAATGTTTTTACAAAAAAGTCTCCATTTGATGTTGTATAGGTATGAGAGATGGCCATGCCGGATGCACGCATATCAAGGAAAACAGTATTTATAGTGTTCGCGAAAAAAAAATGCATTGTGCTGGCAATGCTAAACAGACCTCGCAGGGAAGTATCGGTCATCATAATTGCCACTAGGACAAGTACGGCGCCTTTAAGAAAAGAACTATGTTACTTACGACGCATTGGAATGCTTGTGCGTACACGGATTACCTACTAGTTATACAGACCTGGTCACGTTAAGAAATTGAATTCTGTAGTGTGCAAACTGAGTGCATAAAAGTAAAGGCAGCACGGTTTGACAATGAGTTACACGGTTAATCCACAGGCGTTCTTACCGGACAATTCGCCCTCTTGACGTTTGTCCTAGGCGTCCGCTTTGCCTTCTTAAGATACTGGCTGCTAATGTTTACTCTGGTTATTGACAACTTAAGAAACGGAGGGCGGTGCAAGTCCCTAACATCTTTTTATTGGTCTGCGGCCAATTAGAATGCATCATTAGTCAAGCCGAAAAACGAATATCAAAGAATGAAGTGAGTACAAACTAAGCCCCACGTAATTTTGGATGACGTCAGTAATTATAAATACTAATATCATGGCTTGATGCAGCTCCATTTTCTAGTTTGCTTTTAAGAGGGAGAAGGCATCCACTTCGGTCTCCTAAACTGTCCCATTGCTGTATATTAAAAAAAAATGTTGGTATAAATATTGAGGGAATATTGTTGATCGGGCAATGTAATCTTTATTAATGAAAAAATGACGGTGACCTATGCAAATAAGTATCAGATCTTACAGAAAGACACTAGGGCTTGGCACAGATTAAGAATTTTTAGCGAATAATCGGGGATGTTTCTTCGATTGCACAAAGGGTTGACCCTGGTAAGTTTGAGAAACATGCAAAGAATTACCTGTGCGAAAGCAGTACACGTTTTAATGAGGTAATTTCAGTATATTCAGTGACTCGTCTGGCAAATATTAGAATGCGGTGGGATTTTAGTTCTTTTTTTTTCCATCTCCCAGTGGTTATCTTGGTGATACCCTACACTGCCTGGTGATGGTTACAAAAATGCAGAGGAGAAGCAAATTGGCTTAAAACAGAGAAGGGAGGAATAATACCCTTGGTTTCTCGGCTAGGTGGCACAAGGTACAGTCCGTTATAAAGGGTACAGCCAATTGCACCCATCTATTCATCCATCTATGATGGTAGGCGTAGAGGAGAGAAAGGAAAAAAGTGTATACAGACCTTTTTGCTGATGTCAACTTATACGCGGCTAAGCACTGCTTAGGTTCCTAAAATAGCTGTTATTTTGCTAAAACTATTTCCTGAGCGGGCCTTAACTCTAAAATAAAAACATTAAAAAGTAACGCTTCGGGTTGCTGTTTTTTTATCCTGCTTAATTTAGGCGCTAGCAACATTATAAGGAAGAAACATGGTACGAATACAAAGAGATATTTTCCCGCAGGAAGATAAACAGCAAAGATACTGTAGCTGTTAGACAGTTAAACTTTCGTTTCTTCAGTACAAGTTCGCCCAGGTAAATGTACAAAAATAGCAAACTTCGGATGCCTAAGTGTTTTCAAATACACACCTCTTTAAAGCGTGCAGCTATCATCTAAATGACTAATATTGTCCTCGAAACTTTGCACTATTTATATTACAATTTGATAGATATATTTAAAAAAAAAAGAAAAGATCCCGGTTGTGAACTATGAAATTATAGTCTCGGAGAAGCAGAACTTTCTCCAGTGATTAAGTTCTTAATGTCCGGTTTTACAGTGACAATGATGCACATGACAAGCCCATAGTTGGCTCACTTTGAATAGCTTATCGGTTGTTAAATTAACTTTAGATAAATGCTAATCGATAAATTTTAACAGCCCTAATACCGTACAAACCACAGTGCAAGCAGGGAATTCTCAGCCGTTGTTTATCTTGTAGCTTTACACTTTTCATCTATTAATCTTCCAATAATAAACTCATCGTGGAGCACTGTCATTTCTGCATTCTATTGTTTTATTTACTCTAGCACAAGTCCTTTTTCTTGGTACTTTCACACACTCTCTTCTTCCGTAATTTAAGGTTTGAGGCAGTTTGTAGCTTGGCGTTGGTATACACGTCTTATACGCAAGATCACAGTATGTCCTTTCAATCTTCAATTCATAGGAATCCAGAAAGGCCCCCGAATAACGCTAATTTTCTCGCGAACGAGATCACTGCATGCAATCACGTCATCCTTTGCTTCATGTTAGGCAGTAAACAGGTATAGTTTATTTGCCCAGTCATGCTCAACAATGTTGCTTGTTTCGTGGCTTCAGGTCAGGTCTTGTGTGGCATAAAACTGTCCTCGTG